TCATAAATAACAAGTTCAAATAATTTGGAAAAAGTATTAAGTATAGAAATGGGTCGGTAGTTACTAACAGTGGCAGAGTTACCTTTTTTAAAAACAGGAACTACTGCTGCCTGTTTCCATAAAATAGGGAAATAATTCTGTGCTAAACTTAGATTAAAGATGTGCTTGAGAACAGGAACAAAGATCTCCGAACAACCTTTTATAACAAAGCTAGGAATGTCATCAAGTCCGACAGATTTGGAAGGTCTCAGACGACGAATTGCTTTACAAATGTCCAATTCGGAGATAGGGGCTAAAGACAAGAAGTCAGAGGACTCCACAGGGGAAGGGGATACGCCTAAAGAGGTACTGTAGACCGACTGAAAATGCTTAGCAAATGCATCGGCAACAGAATGGGGTTCAGCCAATTTTAGTGTTGTCTGGACATGAAATGTAACTGAAATCTTTTCAGTAGTTTCAATGATGAATCATACGGAGAGACAAACGTAAACTATCTCACGTGTGTGATTTCACATCGTGCAGTTTGAAGCAGCCTATCGTAAGTTTTACCTTCCTACTTTTGCTAGATTCGCTCACCTAATCTCGGACTTACGATATCCTTACCGTTACATTTGTACCACCTCTCAACAATGCAGAGATCACGCGACATTTCTACGGGCACGCGCACTCGTAACTGATATTTCTAAATCTTGTGTTGTGTTACGGAATCAGTGTCGCTTCGCATAGTGCTGTGTTAGGTCGGAGTGTGGTTAAAACAGTTCGCGAAAATCTTTAGCCATTATCATTACCGCGACCACGACCACAAGCAATAAGAGATAATTAAAATAATAAGTGTTGTTAGAAACAAAGATGCAAGTTATTTGCTGTGATAAACGGGTAGAGATACATACGTTTTAAGTTGTTTCATAATAAATAGATTTATTAAAAACACACCGGTAAAACACACTTTTATAAAATTGAACAATAAAAATAAATCAGATAAAAATTAAAGTTTTTTTAAAATTTTATCTTATTATTCAATTTTCTGAAAATATGCGCTGACACAAAGTACCGTTGAGCAACGTCAGGAAAATACATTAATAATAATATTAACACCAGAAATAATATTGCTGTTGTCGGAATCGCTGCGATGGGAACGCTGAAGGGGATCAGACAAGACAGCAACACCGAGTTGATGGACCTGTACAGAAACAGCGCGTCCTGGCCACGACTCGATCACGGTGACCACGTACAGGCCCTCCTCAACATGACTGAGACGTACTTGCACGCAGCGAGCAACTACCAGGGTGACAGGTTCCGTATTAATAATTTATAGTAGGTACAAAGATTCTGTTACTACCTCAAAAAAGGCAAAAGATCAATGGTCAATGGCTTTTAAGGAAATAGCCAGTGTTTATTCTGGGAATCATACGGAATAATTTACACATTTTGTGGAAAAATACAGTGTTAATGAGTGTTAATAAAGTATGTGGTACACACAGTTACCCCGTGATTTAAGGAACAGTGGTAACGTAGATTCAAAACTTACTTATAACAGAATCCATAGGAACCTGGTAAAATTTGTTGTATAAGAAAGCTTCCGTTTAATTCACGTCCTTACCTGTAGTAACATTTCATAGTATACAGCCCGTGTATTTATGATCTAAATCCAAAGTCGGATATTAATGTTACACAGTATATATTAACTGTTACTAACAAGAACACATTTTAAATGCTTTTACTTTCCTAAGTATCTTTCTTCTTCCTGTAGCCCATTAAAGTATTTCGAATCAAGCTTAACCCGCTCTCATTTGTGAAAGGAATGATCCTTTTAAGAAGCAGTCAATTTTCAAAACATAATACTTCCTTAAACATTTTTACAATCACAACAGACACATAAAAGTCAAACGTAACAACGTAGTAAATTCTTTGTACCTTTCACCATATATCATTAAGGTGATACAATCAAGGATGTTGAAATCGGAGGAATATGTAGCACCCATGGAAATGATGAGAAATAGATAAGTAATATTAATTAATAAACATAAACGAAATAGACCACTTGGGATGTCCGGGCGTAAATGAGAGGATGATATTAAGATGGATCTTAAAGTAAATAGATTGCGTGGGTGTAAAATAGCTCAGAATAAAGTCCGAATGTTGCAGTCGGCTGGTTGCCACGCCTAACTCGTATTCAGGAGGTCCCGGATTCAAATATGCGTCCAGAATGATTGTCCAGACTAAGGTGGTTTTCCTGAGTACCTGCAGACAAATATCGGGATAACTTAAATTAGGTTACAACCGCTTCCTTCCTTATCCTATTCAATTCATAATTTATTATCCTGATAATTTGAGCTAATGACAGCCTAGTAAAATAAAAAACAACTAAATAAAATATTTATCTTTTAACGACGCGTTTTCAACCGCAAATTTTTTAGTGTCGAACTACAACTAAGGTCAAATAGGAGAATGATTTTAATGATAAACTTGAATAGAAAGGAAACTGCCGTGGACTATTATAAGTACTACATGAGCATTTCACTCGACGGTCAGAGTACATCCAGAAAAACCTGCCATGATAGGCAGTCTCGAATCAAGAATCGATCCACAGACTATTCCACTCTGCCGTAATGTTCAGTCTGGGATATAATTTGAATTTATGTCTGTGTTATTTAAGATCTGCGTTTATCAATTAAGTCTTGGTGTCAGAGATTTAATTCTTATGGATTTCTCCCAAGGGAAGGGCCACTGGTTATTTTTAATTAGACAGTTAAATAAATACGTGATCACAGTGGATCGGTCTCCCAAAAACGAAAAAATGATTATATCCCATGGGGCGAAACCTTCCGAGCAGAGTTCGTAATAGCCTTGCTAAAAATATCGGCTCATGCTAATTTGTGCCAGTCCTATTACTAATGTTGTATAGGACCTAAAAGAGTGAAATTTAACATTTACTTCTTACAAATCTAAAATAGTTTTACGGAACGTCTACAGGCCTGTTAAAACAACAAATAACATCTTAATGATGTGTACTGTATTTTATTACGTCTAATAACTCTTAACCCCTAGTCATGGAAATAAAATTTCAGATATGTTGGAAATTGACTGCCTGGCTGTGAAATTTTGTCCTTTTTCAATTTTTACCTGAAAGTCCTTCATTCACACTCATTACAACAATCAAAATACACAAAGCCAGAATTTAAAATGTTCCAAGCAAAATAGGCACACATAAAGCTGCCAAGCTGAGTGGGGTTAACAGGTAGCCGATATTTGGCACAGATAGAACTCCTTGGGTTAATATTGGACATACAGCCGTCCTCTCACTTTTAAGGATTGATGGATATGGCACCTAAGATTAAGCCTCAGAGCAAACTGGGACAAAGAAGATGCTATGAGAGAAGCCATCAAACAATTCAGAAAAAGCAAGACGACTTCCTTAGTGTCAAATACGTTTAAGGTTACATGAACTGCGTTATTTACGTGCAGTAGATCAGAATGCCAACTTTTTTGTTCAAATGAATAAGCCGTGCAGTTTCAGGCAAAATAAGTAGCTCTTACTTTCTAATTTTCGGATAGTAATTTTTGTAATTTCACCACTTTTCACAAATAATTTTTTCTTTGTATTCCGTAATTGAGTCCCATTTTTTCTGCACGCTGAAAAAATTCTTTAGACGAAATAAATTTAGTCTAATTTGCACATATACTACAGGATTCAAGTTTCGTAATCATATGAAGGTAGGTAGTTAGTAATTTTTATTTTTATTTGATTCGTAATAGGACCCAAAAATAATAATAAGGAAATCCATATTTGCACCACATATTCTGAAACAGCATAATTCTAAAAATCCACAGGTGGGTCAAGAAACAAAGAACGAGACGGACTTGCAGCGCTGACCGTTACCGGCCTCAACTTCAACACGCGAGGCGTTACAGCGCAGGCACGGAATGCAGCCAGCGGGACAACTCGGAGACCGACGACGAAGTAGATTTGAACGAGCACCTCGCGAGGTGTCGATGTTCCTGTGATCACATGGGGTACACCCCAAGTCCCCGGCACCACACACAGGTTGGTGATGGCGAAGAAACTTTCAATGTACCTCAGCATTCGCGACGGATACATTCTTGAGATGATCTCCAATACATTCATGGTTTGTTTAACGACGCTGTCAATACGAATTCAGATTATACAGCATGGAATGTGATGAAAAAGCGCATGTACCCTTAGTAAATAAGTATTCCTTTCTATTGCCACAGCAAAACTCTTCCACTTACTTTGTTAACATCATTAATTTTTTGTAGGCACTGGTGTTAAAGAAAAAATATACTTAGTGGGATATTGCCGCTACAGCAGCGGGGTGCAGAAGGGGGACATTGACGTAGCGCACGTGGGTTAAACACACAAAAAATAAGCTGCGTAGAGAAGCACTACTGGAAACATTTTAAAGAAAATTCGTGATTATGTAGGCCTATGTTAAGAGCTCGGCCGCTTATAGAAGAAACGGGTGTCTATCGCCCTAATAATTTGAATGTTCTTCATGTGGAACTGTAGGTTCTATACCCACATGTATGTGAACTGGGTCGATTCGCGTGTTCCCAGCTGAAGGACCGAAAGTCTGCTACAGACGGTCGAAAAGATGCATATCATAGGAAGTATTGAGAACTGGAGCACATAGGACCTTAGCATAATTTTCTTTTTAGAAACAGACGTTACCTGAACTCGGGAAACGAGTCGATGTCTAAAATCCAACTGTAAATAGAAAGCATGCCGCAATGGCCCATGCAATACAGTGCCACTTCACATAACACTGTCAGACTTTGTGTCTGTGCTCGTGAACTCGACAGGGAGAAGAGATCTAGTGGTACGGACACCACAGTCTCCGGATCTCAGTACATATCTGAGGCTTCCTCAAGGCAAGAGTTTACATGGATGAGTTCACGTACGTGTACATGTCCGAAGTACCGCGTTATCGCATACAGACGTAATGGAGAGCACACTGAACAGATTTAATACTTTCTTATGATTCTCATTTTTTCGAGTAGTCTGCATGGCTGCCGATTTTCTAACGTTTTTCTGTGTTGTGTTACCAAAATCGGCAAAATAACTGACTACAGGCTGGATGATGTGGGTGGTAATTTTAAGGTAACAGTAGCCGTTCGTAAAACTACCCTGTCATTTGTATGAGTGTTAATACACGAACCTACCGCTGTGACTGAGCGTCGCTGTCATTAAATATTTTCCCGCGACTTGTCAATAAAAGTTCTAGGAAGTATTTACAATCCCTACTTCCCTTCAAATGTTTTTGTGTCTGTGATGAGATAATCAAGAAGTGCACATTAATAATTATGCGATTAATGACCCATTTTTATGTATAATTTCCACAAGCTGAGATACCGCCTGCGTTAGAGCCTCTGAGTTTCGAACCTTCGCCATGTTCGTAGGCCTAGTTGTTAACACATAGAACATAACATGGTTCGTTAGTTCTCCCCAGTCAAATGAAAAGTTAAACATAGGTCTACTTATACTACTGTTTTATATACTACCCCCCTCCCAAAAAACACACACACAAATGTTTATATTTCGAAGATTTATTACCTCACAAAATTTCAGTACCCTCGCGTCACTTCCACCTCAGACGTTGACACGGCCACAGTATTTATGGTAAGAAATAAAGTACAGCGGTGGGGTGGCCTCTAATGGTATAATGTTCATACCAAATGTTAGTAATATTAATGACAAAGTTCAAAATTATTTGGCGGGACAAACACACGGACTTGATATCATATATAAGACTGTCTCCCTTTACAAAGTTAGGAAAACAAGAGCAGGTCTGACAAACGTTCCAGCCCGTGATGTAATTAATCAACATAGTCTCTTACTGTGATTAAATAAGAAATACACCATGAAGACATCTGGGGAAATATACGTATAGCTCCACGCATTATTTAGCTTAT